CCGGGAGAGGTGAGTGCGCCGGGCCCGCCCTGCGCGGGGCCCTGCAGGCCGAGCGCCCCGCCGGGCACCCCCGGGAGGCTCCCGCGGCCGGCGCTCGCTCAGCTTCCCTTCTCTCGGCAGCGACTGCGCGGAGGAGAAGGGTCCCGCCAAGGGGGACTCGGGTGCGGAGTACGCCATGCGAGCCCGCAAGAGGAAAGCTGATGTGGCCACGGTGAGTGCGGGCCCGGCCCGGTGCCCGCGGGCCAGCTCCCGCCCCGCCGCCGGGCTGGGCCCCCGCGCCCTCGCCGCCTTTGTTGGGGGTGCGGGGCCCACGCGGTGGCGGGGCCGGCTGGGCCGGGGGCTTCGGGCTCCAGGGCTCTGCTCCTGAGGGACCAGGCGCGTGTCACAGCGGCCAACAGCTGCTCCTCCCGCGGTTTGTACTCCGGAAATTATATGTCGCTTTTTATAGTTCTTACAGGATCCTGATGAAGAAATCGCCAAAATGGAGTTGACTAGAAAAAAGCAGTGTGAGAAACAGGTAATTGAATTGGCATTACGTGTAAATATTGTAATCTTACCTAACCCTGCTCTTACTTTGCAGTACCTCATTACTAGTGTGAACGTGGTGAAGCAGATGTGCAGCTGCCACATGTTGCATAGCAGTGGCTAAAGGGTACAATTGGTTGGTCATAGAGTGTGCAGAACAATTCAGTTCACATATATGGTTTTGGAGCCTTTGCAAGAGACAAGGCCTATGTTGGTCTGAGCCATTATGTTAATGCTGAAGTATATTCAGCTGCCCTGAGGTTACAAGGGTGCACCTGGCAAGCCTTTAGACCAACTCTACCCTGACTTCTCTAGAGAGTTGCAAAGTGCAGTCATGTGCTTATATGCCCTGTACATGTGCTCCTGATGCTTGCTGGCCAAWGCACGAGACACTTAAGCATGCAGACAGAATCATCTCTTAAAGGTGGTTCTCCTTGCAGTCATGTCTCTACTTCTGTATTATCTGGGAAAAAGATTCCTCTCTTCTATCATCAGCTCCTTTCCATTGACATTCCCATAGGACAGACTAAGGAGGGAGTTCCTGATTAGAACTTGGAAGTGTGTGCTAGGTGCAAATGGCATAGTAAAATAGGCATTGTTTCTCTACAGAATGAAGGAATAATATCTGTAAGGTCACTCTACCTGTGAAAATTGGTCCTGCAGTGAAGGCTTGTAGTGACCATTGCCAGTTTTCTTTGCAAGACATTTAAAATGAGCTGAGTTACCAAGTCAAGACTAGTTTTAATGGTGTCCTCTAGTTCCCTTTGCATCCTTCCCATGTTCTTGAAAATGGAGATGCTTTTGGTATCTTTGTTGGAGGCCGTGTTGGTGTGTCATTGAAAGCAGAGTGCTTTTGTACCTTGAGATGCCCACTCCAAGTAAAACAGAGTAGCCTGTTCAAATGGTGTTTTGGAACAGGTTCATTACCCTCCTTTTCTGCCCTGAGCACACACACACGTGCCCAGTCACTGTCACTATGTCTCCWGCCTGTCAGTGCACACGCAGGGTGATGCTGGGGTTGCAGAAGTCGTGGTCAGGGTGTGCAGCCTGTCCTCATTTGGTARGCGAGGCTGTGCATAATGTGGCACATCTAACCCGAAGTGGCAGCTGGAAGTTCTAAGACTGAAGTGCTTCCATAACAGATGGGCATCATTGTTTGGAATGGCCTCTGCTTGTTGCAACTGCGTACACTAGTTATCAGTCAACATATTAAGCAGGGCTCAAATGGTGAGCATTTAATGAGGGGATCTCTCCTTCCCTTCTGTCTTTCTTTTGCACAGTATATTAAACTAATTCCTCACTTCTGACAAGGAAGAGCTGCCTGTCCTTCACTGCAGCTTTCTCCTTCAGYGGAAGATTCATTCTGTTTAAACAGAGCGAGGCCTTCTTGTGCATGTTTATTGCATAATAACAAGRTGTTGTTAGGAAGTCTCAACAGAGACCCAATTTTACTGTCTTTGAGAAAGGTAGTGGAAGGAAGCTTAAAGTATCTTTTGCATATGTTGGTCTTCAACTTTGAAAGCCCATAAAGACTTCCAATTTTGTCTTCTTTGTGCTCTTGGCCTGGTAGCCATTCAGTGTTACTTCAGGAATGATAGGTAAACTAACATTTAGATAATTTAGGCAGTAGGCACCAAAAATCTTTACTTGAGAATTTTTTGAGGCAATCAWAGGATGCTGGTGGAATTTGACCCTTTCATTCTATAAACAATAAATAGTACTGTGCCTGTGTATCTTCCCCTACATAGAGAAGGWTTTTTTGTTGTGACAAAGTAGCCAGATTGTTCCAGATCTGGTTAAAAATGCTAACATTTGGCTGCACAGCAGCAGCTCTTCAGTCTATGGTGTGACACAAGCTATTCTCTGATATAAATTGCCATGGACCACTAATKAGAATATGTTTACGGTTCCAGCAGCAGTATAGCAGGCTGGAATGATAGCCAGGGCGACAGTTACTCTGTGGAGACACGACAATTCTAAAATGCAAGCAGCTATAAATCCACTGCAGCCTATASCACATGACTTCTACATTAAATAAATTGTTTACTGACACTAGTTTATCCACAAGGCAAAATATCATAGTCACATCCCACTTTATGACATCTTCATAGTCAATTCATTAGTTTGCTTCTGTGGAACATAAGGCCCCAGTTCTTAATTAGGATGCCGTTACCCTTTATGTGATGAAAGGGTGGCTATATCATCAGGTCTGTGACAGCAGAATATTGCATAAATTCTGTGTTTGATTTTGGAGAACTGGCACTGCTGTAATTCTGCTAGCAATTCTCATACTAATTCTGGCTGCTTTCTGTGGATGAATACACTTCCAAGGCTCCGTGTAAAAGAAAAATCATCTAACTAGATTAATCTGCAGTTGTGATACAATTGCATGGTCACCTCCATATAAACTAGCTGAKGTTTTCAGGTGTAAAGTGGAGCAAACTTTTACAGAGTAGTTTTGATCAGTTCCTCACTAGACATTTTCCAGAATCTGATTTTAGCATTGTTAGAGTGTTCCACCTGAGTGTTTTTAAAATATCCTCCAAAAAGTTTATTTGAATAGATTATCTTTGGAAGATTCAATTTTAAAACACAAAGCCTACAAAAAAAGGAGTGTAAACATACCCATGTTGAGAGCCTGACTTGGTCCTAATGTGAGTCAGGACAATATTTAGACTCTTATTTAAAAGAAGAAGCTCCTGTACTATCCCAATAGGATTAGAACAACTTAATGCAAGTTGTTGTTTTCTCTCCTATTTATTAAATCTGGAATTCCCTTACAGTAAAGAAAAATGCAGTACCTCAAACTAATGCATGCTGTRAGTGAAAAATGGCTAGAATTATAGGTCTTGCTRTTTCTGGTAGGCARACTAAGGCTGTGACCTTGGTRCAAGGTGCTGCTTTTAGTGTGAGACAAACAGGCTTGTTCCCCTGCTGTTGATYTCCATGCTGAAAATTCTCTGATGTTGCTGTTTGCAGTTCTGGGTCATCTCCTTATCTCCTGCTGCCCTGGGTCTGAAGAAGTTCATTCTGGTGGCTGCTAGCTTACACTGAGGTGCACATGTGTCTCAGCAGCTTATATTTTTAGGTGTTGCTTCTTCACTGATGGCCCTGCCTGGCCTGTAACCAATAACCCCGGTGGTGATTACCTGTTCTGTTTTGGTCTGTATCCTGAAGGTTGTTCAAAAGGATGCATTTCTATGAATGTTTGATGTGTCAGTGAATGGTGACACACTGCAGAAAACTGAGACCTGGTAATGTTTGAGCTTTAAAAAAATCCTACCTGTGAACTCCTGGGTTTTCTCTGTTTGGAGCTGTATGGGGCTCTGATGGATTTAGCACCCACCTTCTGCCCTCTTGGTACCCCTTCTCCTGATGAGCCTTCTCATGTGCTTAGYTCAGTTTCTCCAGTCTGTCTTTTTCTAAAGTCTAGATAGAGATGTGCATCTCTGACTGATKGTTGCTGTATCTGGAATATTTCTCTGTGTGTCACCAAGCTTTCTTGCTGGACTCCATATGGGTTTGAAGAGGCAATTCTCCCCCTTGATTTTTTGCTTGCCTGCTGCTTCAGCTCCTGTTTGTCTCAGAAGCCCTGGACTGCAGTATTTCCTCTGGTAGG